TTTAGATTATACCTCGGAAAAAGCTGTGATCTAGTGCAAACCGGACAAGAAGCATATCCAGACTCTTCTCTGGTGACACAAAATGACAGGAAAGCAGCCGTGATAATATAGAAGTGGATGTATCCACTTTAGCATCCTTCAGTACTGATTACATCTTTCCAGTAAGCAGCAGGTTATGTCCTTGGATGTTGGAGAATGAAACAAACTGATTCCTGAAAGGTCAGTTTAGTTTATGATTTTCTTTGATTTCAAAGTCTACAAGTTGTGAGATGTATTTTTGTTTGCTTTTAGTCGTCTCACATCTGCAGAGTCAGTTTCTTAACACGACGGTAGATAGCAATCAAATGTTTATATTTCAGCTCTGTAGAAGAAACTTGCAAAAAAAAAATAATAATAAAATGATACAAATAGAAACGGGATTTTAAGCAGGAAAGTTTAAATAGGCTACAGTAGGAAAAGACTCAGGCGCTTGACATCTTATTTGACACATTCTGCTCCTGGCACAGATTCTAAAAGAGGAGATAGTAGTTCCTGCTCTTTTTCTCACACACTTGGCCCAGTTTGTAATATTGGCAAGAGCAGAAGCTGCTTGATCTTCATTTACATGTTGCCCTCCTCTAATATCTTGCAGATATTAATGGAAGTTAAAAGACAAGGTTTTGCTTGTATGGCAATGAAAGATGATTAGTGACATAGTGGACTCTCCCTGCTTCTTTATTTTTTAACATCTGGCTTCAACTTTCCCCTAAATAAACTGCATTTGTGTCATCAATAATTGACAAAAATGGTTTAAAATCAATGAGATGGGTAATCATTTAAGCAGAAAAATGGGGTAACTTTACAACTGAGTTTTCTGTGAAAGATGTTACATTTTGATTAACATGGAAGCATAGTTTTCTTTCTGCTACAATATAGTCATTCTCTTATGTATGAAGAAATGTACATAACACTTTCAAATGTTAGTTTGGGATTTTATCTAAAACGAGTTTAAGACAAACAAGGCTCTTGTCCATCAAAACGCATCAATAGTCATTGACAGTGGTTGAGACACTGCTGTCTCCTCATGTTGTCAACATTGAACTCACCATGGAGTCAACTTCCAACGGCTGACCCAGCGTACAATCTATGCAGGATTATGTAACTTCTGTGTTGGACACAAAATCTATAAAAAAAATTCAGTGATGTCAAGTTATAAACAAATCCATATTCCTAGAAGCCCTGCTAACTTGTTCTATAGTCAGTTTTGAAATCAGTGGTATTTTGTTTTCCCACCAGATATGTTTAGAAAAACATATCCCAACTTCAACCACATCTGATTGTACAGTAGCCTCAAAAGCAGTTGGATTAATTTAATGTAGGGTGAAATAAAAAAAAAAATCTAAATTTTCTTTTTCGCAAATATATTGCTTTAGATGATAAAAGATGGGGTCCTGAAGAACGCAATTGTTATATTGTCAATATAATCGAAATTTCTTCCTATTTGCATGTCGCCATATAACCTCAATTTATTGCTTAGTGCTGCATTTTAATGTAAAGCACATATTTGTTGTTGCCATCCTGCAGGCTGTAATGGTACAGATTATGCTAATGTCTCAGGCCACAATGTTCAGGGCTCCCGTGGTCTCTCGTTTAAACTCTTTTACTCTGCATTTCATTTCTGATCCATTCTTTCCTTTTCACATGCAGGTTCTGGCCTGGTTTGAAGAGGGAGAGGAAACAGTCACAGCCTTTGTGGAGCCTTTTGTTATCTTGCTTATTCTCATAGCAAACGCCATCGTAGGAGTCTGGCAGGTAAACGCACATTACATCCTTATTTCTGATGCGCCCAGTCCTAATTTTGTTTCATACTTATTACAATTGTATATGAATACTCATACTGTTACAAATTGACTTAGTTGGGTTTTTGGTCATCTAAAAGTGGGAAGCTGAAGTAAGCTTTATTGTAAAAATTCACCAAAATATTTTGATACAGATTTGGTATTGGTAATGGTTTTTTATGTGTATTATAACTGAAGAAAAAATAGTTATTATAAAACAGCCAAGTCTTTTAGTAATTACCATACATATTTTTTAGCTAACAAGCTAATTAAAGATTAGCCATTGTGAAACTGCTGCATTAATAAAGATCCCTGTGGAAAAACTCAAGAGCCAGCAGGATAATCCAAATAGTTCAAGTAAAATTGTATTCTGGATCAAAGACGAAGCCTGGTGCGCCAGTGGATTCCTCCAACTTTGCCTTGTGAAGTTAATTTTAGTCTTCGCTTATTAACGAAGAGCACTTTATGTATGTTAATTTATGTTTAAGTGGTAAGCTGTATTTACCCGTTTAAAATAACCTGGGCAACCTGGGACCTTGCCTGATATCAATACTGGAAAGAGGCAGGCGAAAAAAGATTTGGATATTTATACTAGAAAGGTTAAACAAATAGCACTTTGATGTAAATGTGTGATTAACCAAAAATGAAAACAACAAAATGTCACCTTGTCACCACTTGCATTGTTCTATCAAAGATTATTGTTTCAATCTTCCTTCCTTGTTTGCAGATTTTCTGTTTTGAATGTTTGTAAAGTGCTACTCTGAACAATTCTAGTACTTGGCAGAGAAGTGTCATTTCTGACTGATCTTGTACTTGGCTTTAGTCTTGTGTGATGTCTTTCTACCTTTTATTAAATATAAATCATTTGTACCCTTAAGGAGCGAAATGCAGAAAATGCCATTGAAGCTTTGAAGGAATATGAGCCAGAGATGGGGAAGGTGTATCGCCAGGACAGGAAAAGCGTTCAGAGAATCAAAGCCAGGGACATTGTGCCTGGCGACATCGTAGAAGTTGCTGGTAAGATTAAAATTTTACCTGTAAATTAACAAGTTTCTAGTGTTGAGGTTTTTCAAAGTGTGAAACAGTTGCAGATTCAAAAGTGTCAACATTTTAGGCCATGTTGTTTTTATGGTTTTAGGTCTTTCTAAGCAATGGAGTAGGTTTTTTTTTTTTTTTCCAGCTTAATGAAGCATAAAGTAACACAATGTTGCCCCTCCCCCATCTGTTGTTGTGCACTGCTGGTCAGTTGGATGAAATGAAGGTCTTAAACTGCTCTGTAGTTTATTTTGGCGGTGTGGAGGTATTTCCAGACATGAATAATTAGTCATAGTGTGGAAACTAATGGAGTGCCTCCCACCGCTCTTATTAAGGCAATGCTGTTTTAAAACCAGTTGTCAAGCAATGTAGTTTCTCTATTATACAACTGACTGTAGGCAAGTTGTCCTAGCAGATAGCCTGAGTGATTATCCAAATAATATCAGATTGTTAAACTTAATCTGAGAAGAGCTGAAGAGCAAAAAATGTTACCACTGCACAATATCCACTTAATCTGCTACCAAATTTAGCATACTTTTATTCTAAATTTAGGTCTATGTCTCAAAAGCAAAATATTAATAGTAAACTGCGGATTTTTTCTCAATTTATAATATAATTAGTATCTTATTCTGGCCAATGCCGAGAACGTGTAAATGGCTGTAATTTAGCACACTGCTCTTCTTGGTGACCTTACAGTGTTCCAAATTCTTTCCAAAGTTTTTATGCTTATACACATAGTGAGTGAGCTGTGGACTTATCTCACTCGTTCCTCTGATGCTTTTTAGGATAATGATTATTCAGTACATGTAAAGAACTACAAGAGCAAAGGCTCACTCTGTTCCTGACCATTTCTTGGCTAACCTCACCTCGAACTGGGCCGCAAATGTTTATGGCTTTTGCGTCACTACTCCCCTTTCTCTGGTTTTCCAATTTTTCTGTTTGGTTGTTGAGGTCTTCTTTAACCAAGAAGCTTTTAATCTTAGACTGACTTTTTTTTAAAAATCAAACTGCCTTTAATTGTTTTTCTTTCCATGAAAATAGATATTTCCTGACTTTAATTTTTAATTTGTTCTGCTTAAAATAATGTTTTCATTACGGTCTGACTAACTTTGAACTGTTTGGCCTCCTTCCAGTTTCTTAAAGCTGAGTACTCCAAGTGGTTGGTCCTGTTGTTTTTAGGTTTAACAGGTTGTAAGTGCACCGCTGCCTGTAAGCACATCAGTGTGCTCTTCAGTAAACAGTAACTGTAATAACAATTTCCCGGCATTATTATGTAACCCTTCAGCAACTAATAGATGCATATTTTCTTTTCTGAGTCAGTAAACATTCCTCTTCTGCTTAACCTTTTGAAGGCTAATAAAACATTTTTGCATTATGATGCTACTATCTCTCAGTCATGCAAAGACGGAGATCTAATCTGATTATATGTAAACGTTATTAAATGTTTGCTTGGGTCCTGATGTAAACCTCTGCTGCTAAGTGGAGAAGAGAGCTGACTGCAGTGTTTGTCAAATTCTTCTACAGTAATTGGTGAAATTCACACAGACAGAGTATGTCAACTTTGCATGGACAAATAGCTGATTGAAATTCTGCTGGTATCAGTTTAGGCGATCGACGGAATCCACTTTGATTCACTCTGTTGGGAATTAAGTTTAAATTTTCAATTTGTACTCGAGCCAAAAATGGATACCTGAATTTGTATTATCACAAATTCAGGTATCTCTACTGTAGTGACCATGCGAGTTATTTTCCACAGGTATGTGTCTTGGCTTTTTTTCCTCCCACTTTATTTGTGCAATAGGTTTTTTGCCACTAAACAAAAAATCAGCACTGTAGTATCAGCAGTGCCTAATTCCAAGAACAAATCCAGAAAATGTTTCAGAAAGACAAGAAATGATAATAAAGTGCTATTTGTTCTTTTTTGCCTAGACATTTTTTTAATGGTGTCAGATTTTGTGCCTTCACTTTTTGCAACGTTTTGTATCTCAGCCCTTTTCTAGAATGGATCAAGTGTATTTTTTTTCCATCAAAATTCTAAACACAGCAACCCCTAATGAGAAAAATGCTTTCTTTTATTTCAACAAACATATTAGAAAATACAAAACTAAGGCATCATATGTCTTGAGCTTTGTTAATGTCCTGTTGGTAGGAATTACAGCCTCAAGTCGTCTGATTATGATGCTACAAGCTCAGTACACCTGTCTTCGGGACAGGTGTACTGAGCTTAGCAGAACCTCTTAAGTTTCATCAGGTTGGATGGGGAAATATTGGTTTTTGTTCATTTTCAGTTCTTTCCAGACAAGCGAAATGCAGTTTCAAGTCTGGGCTTGAAACTGCCCAGACTTGGGCAGTTTTAAGCCCAAACTTGAAACTGGACCTTCCCAGAGTTGTCCTGAAGCCACTCCTCTGTTCTTCCGAAAGATGAATCGTCTCTCCAGTCAAGAATGCTTTGGAGTATGTTTTCATCCAGGAGGTCTCAGCACATTGCTTGATTCATCTTTCCCTCTATTTTATCTAGAGCCAGAAATGTGCTTTCCTATTTGGTCAAGTCAGTTTAGCAAAGGTGGACTGAATTATGTTGTAAAAATATCTCAAAAATGGTTGGTAGAAGCAGCATATGCCTGAGCGCAACTGTGAGCTTCATAAGAAAACACTGTAAATACTTAAATCCATATTATTTCTTTATTTTTAGTGTTTTTAAATATTTATGGGAAAAATTGTTAGTGTTGCTGTGTGTTGAGGATGCTTAATGAATGCACCGTGTTTAGAAATGACGATAGTTGACATTTATGAATCTATCTGTGCTATGTGGTTATAAATGTAGCACAAAGTTGCAGACCTTCTAGAGCATTTAGATTTTTTTTTTCAATGTTGCATCATTCAGAACAGAAAAATGATGAACTAATGATAAACTGATGTTTTGTTGCATGATGGTGCGTTTTTCCAGATATATATAAAAAAAAAAACCTTCTTTGTTAGTAAATATGTTCTACCCAGAACTCAAGTTGCAATGCTGTAATTGTAATTTGTTAAAAAGGTCATTATTGCCCTTTACTTTGTGCATTGACAAACTGCAAAGTGTGGATGTCAGCAGGAAGATTTGTTTATATCAATCAGTATAATCATACTATGCATTTTAATGGATAGTATGACTATACTATGCATTATAGTTTAATTATACTATAATTATAGTATAATTATGCATTATAGTATAACTATACTAATGCATGTATGCAGTGTAAGTGAACCGTGTATGCATACATGCTGGTGGCCTCAGCATGTATGCATACACACACTCCTGGTGCATGCACACCGGGAGTGTGTGTATGCAAGGTGTGGATGTATCAGTGATGTAACAGATTATCGGAGGCCACCAATGTTGAGGTTTTACTGCCAGAGACTTTCTGTAAAGAGCATGTCCCCAGATGCCTCCTAGCTTATTTTTTTCCCACCAGCGGTTGTTTACTTTGTATCCTTGAGGAAATAGTTGTTTGCACAGCCTGAATCCAAACAACAGAGACAAGAGGACCTGGATTAAAATTGATTTAACCAGATTAGCAAGATCAGTACCAAACTTTACGGCCTTTTGTATGACGTAACCTCTTGTCTAGCTTAATTTTTTAATGCTTTAGATTCACAGTTTCAATGATGATTCTCATTTGTTTTTATCTGATATGGGATCTCTCTGTGATCGTCACTGTTTAATATGCTTGCAGGCACCTCAAATATTTTTTTTTATTTATTTTTTTATCAAAATAGAATCACTGTTGCTGCTCTCTGCCTAATATATTATTGCAGCAGAAATACAATATTAAATCTGTGGATTGGTATTATTTGTTGGCAGAAATAACTTCTGCAGGGAAAAACTACCTTTGCCTTTGTTTCAGTTCTATTTTCTGTCTTATTATAGCCACACTTTTGTGTGCCAGACAGGATGTAATGTGGAGAAACGACATTTGTTGTTGTTTTTAATAGGTTGGGCTCCATTAAGTTTGAGTTTGAAAAGGTCATCAAGGTTTTTTTTGCTGCCTGTTTTCCATGACATTTAAATCCTTGGTTAAGAAAAAGATGATCACAATATGCATTTTCACATGGTGTTTGCAAACTACATCATGAAAGGCTCAGGGAGCAGGATAGGTTTTAGTCTAGGTAATGTATGCACCTCCTTAAGGTGTCTGATTTTCACTGCTGAACTGTATTGAAACCAAAATATAAAAACCAATTTTGTTTTGAGTTAATGTTCAAATTTTAATTCTAAAACTATGCAGATTTTGGAGTTTTCCAAATGTGTGTGTGTATAGAAAGAAAACAGTTTTTATTTCACCCACTTCTCCATCCATCCCTGTTCTAGTAGGCATCTAACTATTCCTTCAACTATTTTTGCCTATACTCAACCATCCTTTCTTTCATTTGCTTATCCATCAATCCCTTTGTGCTGCCCATCCAGCCCTTTCTGATTCTGTCTGTCCATTTTGCCATTTTAAAAGTGGCTTAAAAGGACAGATAACTCCCAAATCAGAGTCTGAGAATTTTTTTTGTGGCTTAAATAAAGTGAAGAACTCTGCATCGGGCCTGGAAGTCATATCAACCATTTGTGCGCCACTCTTTCTTTGACTACCCTGACTGGTACAACGAGGACAGCTCCAGTGTTTACAAGCCAGCGGAAGGTTTCTCTTTAAGTGCAAGTAGCCTGACATTTGTCCCTTACTCAGGGGAGCGGAAAATGCAGATAATATCCTTTGTTCACAAGGGAGAAGGAAAAGTCCATGTTCCAGAGGTCATTCACACTCCCATATATGAAAAAATAAAACAAGAGCTAAAAAGAGCATGCTCTTTAAGACCAAAAGCAAAACATCTCCCATGTGGAGTTGAAAATGAGGTCAGTGCAGAACGTTTCTGTGCAAGATTGCAAAATAATTTCATTAACTTTGTGGAAAATTAGTCATTTTTGATAATTTGCTTTTTCAGAAACAAGTTTTAAACCACTTTTAGAAGCATATTTTTAATTTTGAGCTTTTTATTTTTAAAATTAAATATGTCGCTATATCTTAATTTATGGATGTTATAAGCAAGATTTATTTGCCTTTACTATCTTGTCTGGCGTCTGAACCATCCTGATTGCCGGTGTAAGTGGGTTAGTCCACTTACTGTGACCCTATTCCCAGTATACCCCAGTGGATGGAAAATTAGCAGGGTGTTCTTTTTTTTTTCTCTACTGGTAAGAGGATTTCTAATTAGCCACTTTTTAGTGCGAAGCTTCCCACAGGCTTTGTTTAATTTTTCCAGTCGCCGCAGTGCCTTTGTATCATCATCTCCCTTCCCTCACCGTCCTGTGTTTTATTTTCTTAATTTTTTTTCTTTTTTTATGGGATTTATCAGGGATGGAGAGAGTTTGACAGTACATAGTAAACCATCGATGCCAAAATAAGGTAGCACAGCCTACCCAGTCCATGAACGTCATTGCGGATTCAACACATATTACAGTAGTACCATTTTGAAATAAATAGGTGTGTAATCAAGATCTCATTTGTTTACTTATGCTAGTTTCTCATTAAGTATATTTTTCTTACTTAAATCCATGTCTTCTTGGGGAAAACGAGCTCTAACAATCTTCTGACTGAACACAATCACACGTCACAGTTTCTATTTCAGCTCATCTGATGGAGTGGGATATCCTTGCTTGAAACAGATGTTCTTGGCCTCCCCCTCCCCTCCAGCAGTTCCAGCTGCATGTCTTCAAATGATCAAAAATAGTTTTCCCATTTTTGGGCGTACAGTTTTAAGAAACTCATCTAAACCCCTTCTTTCCCTGCAGCCCATTCTCTCTTCCTCTCCTCTCAGATGGGCACAGCAAAGGTTTACATGTCTGTCACCACTCTGTACTGTCCACAGAGCGTGCTCTAAAGAGCCTCTGAGTCATTGCTTTTATCTTCACCCTTTCAAGCTGTGTGATGTCTAACTGAATGGAAAATATCTCTGGTGGAAGAGTGGTGGTTTCCGTTCTTGGTTTCTGTGAAATCTTCTATAAATATAAGCCATCAATAATCAAAATGGTGGCCTCAGCTGTATATCATTCATGTGTCTCTTATGGATTTGATCTTTTAAGTTTTAATGTTTTTGTTAAGGAAAACGTGTTTAAAATTATAAAAGATGCAAGATTAACTCGGACCACCACAGCATTTATCTGTTTGTAACTCAAACTAAGATAGAAGTGAAGCCAAGGGAAGTTTGAGAACAGTTTAATCTTTCAGGTCTAATAAACGTCTGCAGCTTTATTGCTGCTTATTAGATTTAAGCAGAGCTTGAAATATGTTGTTTACGTTTATTTTATTGAGACTTGCTGGAGCCTTTTGTGAGGGGAAATAGAACATCCTGAAGTGTGTCATAGCCTTTTGCAGGGGATGAGTTAGTCATTAATAATGCTGAAAACAAGACTTTTTCCTGATCTGAGCAACAATAACTTTTGATTATTTCTCTAAAACACCTGTATTAGTAGTAGCTGCTCAATTCCTTGTTTTGTTAGGGGTTCGATTCAAATTTAGGGTATTGCAGTAATTCACATTTTGTTTGAAATGAGATTCTGCCACAGTATTGAAATATACAATTTTGTCATTGAAATGTCTGGAAATGGTTATAAAATACTGTTTATAATTCGGATTTCTCTCTTTTTATTTACTTAATGAATGCAACTCAAATTTCAAGGTGCCAAAAGTGTCATTTCTGTCCACAGTTGGTGACAAAGTGCCTGCAGACATCAGGCTTACTTCTATAAAGTCGACCACCCTGAGGGTAGATCAGTCGATTCTTACAGGTAAAGTCTCTATCCTCACCTTTTCAATTTCCTTTTGGTGCACTGTGATTTGTCAATCTCTTTGTTAAAATGTAACTATATGAAATGTATTTGTCCAGTGTGTTTATTTTGACTTAATTACACATGACAATCAATGAGACTATAGAACAGAAATCGGAATGCATTTTAAAAATCGTCCTGAATTTGTGGGTGGATCATTTTCCTGTGAAGTTGGTGAAGAGGGTTAGGAGAGGATAGTGAAGGATGGCTGATGTTCGGGAGAAGTAGCGAATCAACTCTTTAAATCTCTCGTCTTGCTCCGCTGCCTTAATTGGTAGCAAATTCCATGGGATATTTTAGTGTTTGAGCTATTTTTCTCCTCTCTTTCGTTCCCCATTCATGGCCATGCCGCCTTTCAGACGCTCTCCGTCTCGTTGTGTTTGAGCTTTACAATTCACGCACAGTTGATTATGCCCAAAAGCGCTCGCAAACAGTGTGTAAGCGCACATTAGATAAGGCCTTTGAAAGGCAGCACCAGGGCAGTATCTGATACTTGTCAGGTTCGCTCAGTCAGCTGCTAAGCCTTTTCCACACTTCTGTTTAAAATGTCAGCCAGGCACCACTGTTACCTCTTCATGCTCTGCTGTGTAGAAACTCACTCTGTTTCCTGTTCTCATAACTCTCGTTTCGCCGTCTTGCAGGAGAGTCTGTATCAGTGATCAAGCACACAGATCCCGTTCCAGATCCACGAGCCGTCAACCAGGACAAAAAGAACATGCTGTTTTCTGTGAGTGACTCAAAAGATTTTCTTGTTTTCTATTTCATATATTTCGACTACATTTAGGTGCCATACTCTTCCATGTCTTTTAATCTTTTTTTTTTTTTTTGTCCTGTTGAGCCTTTTTCGCATATTTTTTTTTCTGAAGAGATACAGTGATTTACAACACGATTCACAGGGATTCATCTTTTCCTAAATGTGTCACCTAACCACAAACCTCTACATATTAATGGGATTTTATGTGAAAGGATCTTGATACAAGATTAAACAATTATCTGAAAAGTGTGGTGTGCTTTTGTATACAACCCACCTTGTAGAACCACCTTTGACTACAATTATTACTGCAGGTCTTCCCAGGTATATTTCTACCAGCTTTGAAAACCTAAAGAAAAAAATAAATCTTTGCACATTCTGCTATTTAAAATAGCTTTGACTAGGCCAAGTTGAGAAACTTAAGCCAGCTTATTTGTTTAGCAAAGTCATCATTCACAGCCTCATGTCTTAACCGCTTTAACATGACAAAAAGTGACGATATGTTTGTAGTTCATTGTATATGAATACTTTTTCGTTTTAGCTCAGATTTTTTACGTTTTGACATGTTAGCTACTTCTAGTAAACATTTTACCCATTTTGCAGCTCTTTAAATGTCTTGGTCTACTAATCCGTCTGTTCACCGCTCAACCTCAACAGGGCACCAACATCGCAGCAGGTAAGGCTGTAGGCGTGGTGGTGGCCACAGCCGGCAACACAGAGATCGGCAAAATCCGAGATGAGATGGCGTCCACAGAGCAGGAGCGCACGCCCCTGCAGCAGAAGCTGGATGAGTTTGGGCAGCAACTATCCAAGGTTAACAAATCTCCATTTTCCAGTCAATTCTAATTTGGATCATTTAAATTTGTGCAAAATACACTGTATTTATTCCGTTTGCTCGTAATCATCTTTAAAGCTGAGCTACTGTTTTATCACAGGTCATCTCACTGATCTGCATTGCTGTTTGGATCATCAATATCGGACATTTTAACGACCCGGTCCATGGAGGCTCCTGGATCCGAGGTGCAGTCTATTATTTCAAGATCGCGGTGGCTCTGGCAGTCGCTGCTATTCCTGAGGGTAAGCCGAGTCACATGGATAATACAGCATATCTAGAATTATTTTTGTTCTTTAGACATACAAAATACTGCTGCAATTTTAGTTTTTTTATATAGACTATATATATAACAGGTTAGGATATAAAGCAATAAAGGAAAGCCATATTTTCTTTCCTAGAGTGAGATATTTTTCTCACTTTAAGCTAAATAACACTCTTCCCCTGAACGGACCTGCTGTAACCACTCTAGGTCTGCCTGCTGTCATCACTACCTGTCTGGCTTTGGGAACGCGCCGCATGGCCAAGAAGAACGCTATTGTCCGCAGCTTGCCCTCCGTGGAGACCCTCGGCTGTACATCTGTCATCTGCTCTGACAAAACTGGGACGCTGACCACCAATCAGATGTCTGTCTGCCGGGTAAGAGCGCCAGTTTTTCAGAAGAGAGAAAAGTCCTTGGTGGGTTTCACAGTTTCACTGCTCACCACGGTCAGGAGTCGGCTTGACAGGCACCAGCAAACAAGAAATTGGACAAATGCTGAACAGTGTCAGTCGGTTAGTTAGTTCTAAAGTTTTGATTCTGTTTCAGCACATTAGCAGGCAAATATCACACGAAAATTAATATTTAATTTTTATTTAGATAAAAAGTAAGATGTTATAGTGAAGTTTAAAAGGGGGGGAGTAGGATACATTTACAACCTGTCCATACAAAAACGTGTGTGTAGTAGCCTGAACCACAAGCACACCAACATACCAGTAGCAATGTTCTTATGTTTGTGAAGAAATGGTGCAGCTCTTTTCTCTAGAGTAGCTAAAATTAGTCAAAAAATAATCAGTTTACAGCTTTTGTTTGAGCCTAAAAAGGGCATCATTTAATTTCACCCAGTTCAAGCTGGTCATGTGAAAGTATAGCATTGCAAATGAACACCCTTTTGTACAAGTGGTGATGTGTTGCAGGTGATGTTTGTCTGTAAGCATCCTCCTGGGATTAGCAGCACAGTGTGCATCACACATTAAAGTATTTGAGCGAAAACAGAAAATGAGATGTTTTCCTTTCCTCCATCCTGTGTTATTAGCATAAATATCTTCATATTATATCTGCTTGTTTCATCTTGTTGGTTGTTGCTTAGCTAAGTGCACAGTTCTCCATTTCAATCCTTCTATATTTCTGGATACGTTTTTTGCCGCCGCCCCTCCGCTCCAGCAGAATCCTGATCAGCATGCAGTAGTTAGTCAGCAGCATAAACCAGTTGAGTTGCATAACTGACCTCGTCTCTTTCTGCCTTGCCTCCATATCTGCATCTCTCTCAAGTCAATAGTGCTCACATAAAGCCTTCACATCATTTTAAATGAATATTTTGGCTTTCATCTCTGTTCTCTTTCAACTGCAGTTATTAGAACCACTAATTTGACTGGTGGGTAAGATGCTGTAGCTTGAAGTACTTCAGGCTCAAACAGTTGCAGAATAATCCCCTAAAATAGTAAAATAATGGTTTTATATATATATATATATATATATATATATATATATGAATGAAGAGAAATAAAAAATATTTGCATTGTCAGTTTGTGGATTTAAAAAGATCTTTAAAGGGTTCTTTTTAATTGTTTCCTCCTAAGGGGATTATAATTTTCTACTGTTTATTCTTGGACCTGAATGCCACTAAGAAGATTGTACCCAGGTGCCTGTAAGATGACATTTATAAACCTGACCCACCACTGTGTTCTTTATATGCTTTGGATCAGGATTTTACTGTTTTTGTTAACACTGTTCAGTGTTGTAACAGGCTGCCCCCTGCTGGACTAAGATTAGAATTGTTTTTAAACAGTTTTGACATACGCCTAGAAGTTGGATGGTGGAATAAGTAAAATATCAAGCATTTTTGTCTCAAGCAGTTTTCAACAAAAAAAATTTGGTTTGTTTCTTGTGTTTGTAGATGTTTATTATTGATAAAACCGAGGGGGATCACTGTCCGTTAAAGGAATTCACTGTTACGGGCTCCACATACGCTCCAGATGGAGAAGTGTGAGTATTCAGTGCCTTTTAAAATGTCTGAGCTCAAATAGATGTACCTTCGGCTAACATGTCTAGTACTTTCCCTTACTTTTTGTGCTTGTCTCATTTCTTTAGCTTTCATAATGGCAAACCAGTAAAATGCTCCCAGTATGATGCCTTGGTTGAGCTGGCCACTATCTGTGCTCTCTGTAATGACTCATCACTGGATTTTAATGAGGTTGGTGATTGTTTTAGATGTTTTTCTGTTTTTTTGTTTTTTGTTTTTTTTATTAAATGGTTTATCGCTCATCAATGTTTGTTCTGTCCAGACCAAAGGTGTTTATGAGAAGGTGGGAGAGGCCACGGAAACAGCGCTGACGTGTCTGGTGGAGAAAATGAACGTGTTTGATACAGACATTAAAAACCTGTCCAAGGTTGAGCGAGCCAATGCCTGCAACTCTGTACGTAACCTTTAACCCCGTATCTATTGTTTTCTTATGTAATGGTTTAAAATTAACCCCCATAATTCTCATATTTGTCTTTTGTTTTCTCACAGGTGATCAAGCAGCTCATGAAGAAGGAGTTCACTTTGGAATTTTCCAGAGACAGGAAGTCTATGTCCGTATACTGCACTCCAAATAAAGCACGGTCCTCTGTTGGCAAGATGTTTGTAAAGGTAAAAACTTCTCCTATTGAAGCTGTAATTCTGGAACGAAGGTGGTGATGAGTATTTTCAAAGGCTGAATTTGTGTGAGACAATGAAATGCAGTTTAGAAAAATGTGTATTTTCAAAACGCATTCCCTTGCTTTTAGTCTTAATGCGTCATTTCAAGCTTCTGTTCATTCATCACTCCATCCATTCATTTGTCCAAGATCTGTCCATCATCAGTCCATCTGTTTTGCTGTTCATTCATCCATTCTTTAGTTCTGTCAACCCATTTGTCCTGGATCTATCATCTATCTGTCTGTCCACCCACTTATTCATTCATCCATTCATTTTTCCATCCATTCATAGGCTTTGTTTTGATCTTTCATCCATTCATTTGCCCCCTTTTTTCTGTTGAGCATTTAGCCATGTATCCATTCATCCACCATCTGTTTTCTGGCCTTCATTCGTTTTCCCCAGTTTGTAGTTCGGATGAGCTTTTGCATTTAAGTTTTACATTGCATTTTTAAAAGACGATTAAAAAGGACTGAATGCTGGAAATGCCTACAATTATTAAATATAACACGTGTTGGAATCTGGAGACAGACATCTTTTACTCGTAACAAACTGGGATTTCTTGTCCATTTCGCTGTCTTTACCATCTTTGCTCATAGGGTGCCCCAGAGGGAGTTATTGACAGGTGCACACACATCCGTGTCGGCAGCAGCAAGGTGCCGATGACCCCTGGCATCAAGGAGAGGATCATGTCTGTGATCAGAGAGTATGGGACTGGCAGAGACACTCTGCGCTGTCTGGCTCTGGCGACGCGTGATAACCCTGTAAACAAAGAGAACTTTGTGTTGGAAGACTCTTCTCGCTTTGTGGAATACGAGGTAAGAGGGGAAGATAATCTGTACTTTGTTTTATTTATTTTATATATTTATTTTTTGTAAAGTTTTATCTGTGTTCGTTTTTCAGACTGATCTGACGTTTGTGGGCTGCGTCGGCATGCTGGATCCACCCAGAGCGGAGGTGGCTGCTTCCATCAGGCTTTGCCGTCTCGCAGGCATCAGAGTAATCATGATCACCGGAGACAACAAGGGTAAAATCTACAAATCGCAAAACTGCAACGTCTGAAATGCTTGACTTGTGGAAAGCCTCGCTGATTAAACGTTGCGTGTCTGAATGTTTCAGGTACGGCAGTAGCCATCTGCAGACGTATCGGCATCTTTGGGGAGGAGGACGATGTTTCCAGCATGGCTTTCACTGGCAGAGAGTTTGATGACCTCTCACCTGCCGCACAGAGAGATGCTGTGGTCAAGGCTCGCTGCTTCGCTCGCGTTGAGCCAGCACACAAATCCAAGATCGTCGAGTATCTGCAGTCCTATGATGAGATCACAGCTATGGTAAGAAGGAGCTGTTCCTCCAGTTTTCTGTTAATAGCCCTTCTAGAAGATGTTTGTTGACGTCGTGACTGGTTTTGTGTTGGGTTCAGACCGGTGATGGAGTGAACGACGCCCCTGCTCTGAAGAAGGCTGAGATTGGCATTGCCATGGGCTCCGGAACAGCTGTGGCCAAAACGGCGTCGGAGATGGTGCTGGCTGATGATAACTTTTCCACCATCGTAGCTGCAGTCGAGGAAGGCAGAGCCATTTATAACAACATGAAGCAGTTCATCAGATACCTCATCTCCTCCAATGTTGGTGAAGTTGTCTGGTAAGGATTTTGTGTTAATATGCTCCCAATTCTCCATTTAAAACTTTTTTTTTTTCCTCTCTCGTATAACTATGATTCTTGATGTGGTTGTAGCATCTTCCTGACTGCAGCTCTGGGTTTCCCCGAGGCGCTCATCCCCGTTCAGCTCCTCTGGGTCAACCTGGTGACTGATGGGTTGCCGGCCACCGCCTTAGGATTCAACCCCCCCGACTTGGACATCATGAGCAAACCTCCACGAAATGCTCGGGAGCCCCTCATCTCCGGATGGCTTTTCTTTAGATACCTTGCCATTGGATGTAAGTTAGGACTGTATGGAAAGTCAATCCTTAGCAAATCCATTCTCCATATTTTAATGGCACACCTGCCTGTTGTTGCTGTTTACCTTAAATTTTCTTCAGCAGCTCTTTTGTGTCGTCTTAAAAGGTTACGTTGGAGCTGCTACTGTTGGCGCCGCTGCTTGGTGGTTTGTTGCTGCTGAGGATGGACCAAGGATTACCTTTTACCAGCTGGTAGGTGTTAACCCTTTGCTTCTCAGTTCACCTCATTTATCTGCTCTAAAGTCTAATCTTTCATCATCGATCACCTCCTACAGAGCCATTTCCTGCAATGTGGCCCAGAGAACCCCGACTACCAGGGTCTGGACTGTAAGGTTTTTGAGTCCCCTTACCCCATGACCATGGCCCTGTCGGTGCTGGTTACTATAGAGATGTGCAATGCCCTCAACAGGTTGGTCTGAGGAATCCATACAGACATAATTACATTTGTGTAAAGATTTGTGTGCATTTAACCTTATTTAAAGTAGATCAATCCAAAAGTATCCACACGCTTGAAACATTTCCACATGTTTACATTAAAACTACTGATATAAGTTTATTTTAATGCCATTTTATGAGGTTAACCAACCACAGCGAGCACACCATTGTGAAGGGGAAGAAAAGGGGAAATGGTTTTGCAACTTTTTATTAAATCTGAGATGTAGAGACTTTGGAGAATTCCTTGCATAGCAGCTCAAGTTTGATAGTGTTTCTGAACATACATTTTCAAGTCTTGCCACAGATTTGCAATAAGGCTTGTTCTACTCCATCTCTGGCTTTGTGTTTTCCAGCTTTAAACAAGTTTTCTGTAAAAAGAAAAAAAAATCTCTGCATTTAGCTCACATCTTCACAATTCATTCACACGTATTGTAAATTTTTAGACAGTGTTATGTTTTGCATTTTTGGCTAAAAGGTGCATTGTGGCCTTATCTGACCCATAAATATTCTCTAACAAACCTCAGGGGCCCTCAGAGAACAGCTGTATTTAGACTAAAAATAGATTACTAATTTAGTGTCATCTGAAGCCAGTTTGTTGCACTAGACTTTTTTTTAGGGGTCATTGAAGCAAAGGGGGAGAATAAAGTTCCTCACCATAGTTTTTAGAGATTTATTTCTAAGTCTGTTGCATAAAGTCTCATAAGGTACATTGAAGTTCGGTGTTGAAGGGTACAAATGCTATTGCGAGGCGAGTTTTTATGCACAAACACAGAAAACGAAGCTTGTCCAGCCAGTTAAAGTGTTTAGTAAAGATCTCGTTTTGTTATTGTGTCTCAGTGTGTCAGAGAACCAGTCGCTGCTGCGGATGCCTCCCTGGGAGAACGTTTGGCTGCTGGGTGCCATCTGCCTCTCCATGTCCCTTCACTTCCTCATCCTCTATGTGGAGCCGCTTCCAGTACGAAATTTACACAGTTGTATCATTTGCAGTTTTAAAGCCCTGGCAGTGTATTTATTGTTGAATTCTTCGTTTCTCTTCTGCAGATCATCTTCCAGATCACCCCTCTTAACCTCACCCAGTGGCTAATGGTGCTGAAGATCTCGCTGCCCGTCATCTTGCTTGATGAGCTGCTGAAGTTCGTTGCCAGGAACTACCTGGAGCGCAACAGAGAGCTGGAGAAGTTCCCCAGCTCCAAAGGCTGCTGCCTGTTTGCATGTATGGAGGGCATCTCCTGGCCCTTCGTGGCCATTTCCCTCCCTCTGGTCCTCTGGATCTACAGCTCTGACACTAACCTGGCTGACATGTTCATGTCCTGACTGACTTGAGCACAACCTCAACTTTTTTTCCCATTCCCTCCCCTCTCCCTCAGCCCCCAACTCCACCCCTCACCCACTGCCATCACCTCCTCCTTTCCTTCTCTCCCTGCCTTCCTAATTGTTCATAGCTAGCTAGCTAGCGTGTGTATGCGTGTGCGTTTGTAGAGTTAGAGTTGTGTGTGCGCGTGTGAGCACGAGAAGGACCAACTGTAACTCATGAAACGCAACAAATAATATAAGAAAAAAAAAGTTAAAATTTAAGTCGCCTATTCGAGGTGGGTCAAGACTTATGAATGACTGAGGCTTTGAAGTGACTCCCATAGGGTTGGACTTTGTTGCTGGTTTAAGAGCAAATATAGTGTTGCCAGTTTTTTTTTTTTTCTTTTTTTTTCCATTGTCAATTTTGCCTTTAAGGTATGTTTTAAATGTTAGGATTATCTGCATTCTGCCCTGCGTCACTACTGTTAGAGAATTTTTCTTTAGGCTCCCCTTCTCCTGAACACGTTAAAAAGTAAAGATATTAAATAAGTTGATCTGTACAGAGATTGAACACTATTTTATGCAATTTTTTTTTTAATGGCTTTGTAAATTGTTTAACCAGCGTGGCTTAGAAAAACCGCCTTGATTTACTTTCTGTTAACCATTGTGTCTTCAGTACAAATTCAAAACTCTCTGAGAGGACAAGCTCCATTCGGCAGACAAGAAACAAGGGAAAGGTTTGGGATGCTCGGCTTAAACAAAAAGGAAAAATAAAATCTGAGAAACAAAAAAAACAAAAACAAAACAAAAAAAAAGCTGCATGCCCTGTGACCAAGCATGAACTGTATGTGGTTTCTCATTTCTAATTTAAATGTGTACGCCCACCCCACCTTGTTAAAACGTAAATAGCTTTGTGGATTTTATTTTAAATTTTTTCTTTTTTACGATATTGATTAAAAATGAAGTCGGTTTTTCTGCACTGGGCAGAGCACAGCTACCTCAGTATGATGAAAAATGCTTTTTTTTTTAAAAAAAAAAAAATTGTTTTGCTCATCTCAAGATGCTTTCCCTCGACACGTCTTGCTAAAAGATAACATCTGAGGTGTGCCCCCTACTTGCTTGTGCAGAAAACGAAGAACATCTTCCTTCCCCTTTAACTTTTTTTTTTTTTTAAGGATGTGTCTTATTTGTATTGATTGTGACATTCTTTAACTTAATTTGTTGTGGAGACAAAGCTGGGTGGGGATGCTTTATGTTGTCTTACCATTTCCATAGTGTTTGATTCAAAGGACATCAAAAAAAAATATCCTACAATACTAATACAAGTTCTCCAAATGAAACCTTGATTGCAGATCAAAACCCTAAATGTTTTTTTTTTCTATAAAAAAAGAAAAAAATACACTCACAATGAACCCTTTGAATCAAGTGTTTTCTGTCTTTATTTATGTTTGAGGCTCATGGTTATTACATTTCATATCCAGTGTTTTTGTATGTGCATATATTACTATAACAATAATTTAGGAAAAACGAATGCTTTGGTTTTTCTGAGTACAGATGTTGGATCAGATCCTTCAGTAATTTGCATTTGTGGATGTTTTCCATGTGTGAAAAACTCAACTAAAGCATGTTTTTAGGTAGAAGCCTGGTTGTTCTCACTGCCTGTGTTTGTCTTAACAAATGTGTGCTTTTATTTTCTTCAATGCCTTCCATTGGCTCCCCTGTCATTAGAGTGAGTATCCATTTCTTACATCAACTACATACTGAGCCTTCAAAAGTACTCAAACCCCTGGAACTCTTCCATATTTAGCATGTTACAACTACAAACTCTACTGTATTTTATTTGAAAGACCAACACAAAGTGCATACATGTAAAGTGGGAGAAACTGGGTGACATTATTGGGTGACATTTGGACGCGATTTCCTGCATTAAAAAATTTCCTGCACTGGCAAGGATAAATGCATGTCACATATTTAACACTGTAGTTTCCCTTCCACTTTGTTTCTTCGAATAGCTATGTCACATTTAATCGCAATAAAAATACATTGAAGTTTGATTGTAACATGATAAAATGTCAAAAGTTCAAGGTGTGCAAGAACTTCCAAGGCCCTGTACATCACCACACACTGTCCTATTGAAGTATTTCAGGATTTTTCTCATTTAGATGTAATTTAAGCTAGGATATCTTCATATGTAAACATGCATATGCAAGGAAGTAATCATGCCATCATTTCACCACATCTCACTTTTGTGAACTTCACTGTGTGCTGTACTTTTCACCTCTGGACACTTGCTTATTATTTACGTTGTAAAATGTTAGATTTTCATTTGGGCTTCACATACTAACTGTTTCTCTCTTTTGTTTTTGTTTTTCTAGGTCAGTTTTCATGAAAGCTTTTGGCAATCAGAGCAGAATAAGAAGCTGGGAATTGTCTTTCCACAAAGTGTGGCTCACGCATAATTTCCCTCACTGCAGACACCGTGATGACCAGCAGCACACACACACAAACACACACACAGGTGAAAAGAACACTGTTTTCAGAATGCATAGTTATCCTGCTAATTGTCCCTTTCGCCGCCAACTTATAACAATAAAATTCCCGCAGTGAGTCACACATCCCTCTGTGTGCAAATGCTAAATTAGGACGATAATCCAGCTATATGTGCAGGGACGTCCTGAAACGCTCCCCTCCTTCTGAATCCTCCTTGCATGAAGACGTTCTTCCATTGGTAGCTCGTCGGTCGCATTGATCACTTTGCAAAAAAAGTGGGTTGAATGGTCTTAGCTGTACATCAGTGTACAAAAACATTCATGCATGCGTTTCAGCTGTATGTAGGCTTTACAAATTTGTATTTATAGATTCTAATGTATAATACTCTAATGACTTAAAGAGCGTTTTAAGAAAGATAAAGTTGTAAAATCACTTTATTGTAATGGTTTGGGTCATTTGCACAATGTTGGACATGAATGCCTGATTCATGCTGAACTTGACTGTGCTTAACCTTAGCGTTTTGTTTGTTTTGTTTTTTTTAATAATATTTCTTTTTTTTTTTATCTCATCACTTAATGTGAGAATACCACTCACTCTGCCAGTTAATTTCATGAATTAGCCAATAGCATCTAGGTTAGCAGACTGTCGCTCATTTCTCAGTGAACCTGCAATACAGCTCGTTTGATTTTTCTTATTGCCTTGACATTCCTTTAATTATCTATCTTTATCAACTGCTGTAAAACTGTGATTTAATGTGAGGAACCCTGTATGGTCTCCTCCTGACACCTGGTTGAAGAACAATATTAACCATATGAAAACGTCAATCATTACTGAAGGCTGATAATGATTGTACAGTACATACATTACTGAGGTTGTGATTTCAGGTAAATAAAATAATCTAGTATTTGATTTGTTGTCTTTTTATTTTTATGCCACCAATGCCATATTTTTAAGTTAAAAATGGATACATTTATTGTGGCACTTGTAACAGATGTGATAACTTCAATAAATTATTTTATTGACTTGTCAGAACTCACACTGAAACATACCGGAAGTACTGAACCTTTGATTTGTATACATTCATGATTTATAAAATGAGGTCACTGATGCTATTTCCAATCCTGCCATCAAAAACACTTAAATTGTATCAGCTTTGGTTGTGACTTACCAGCTCTGGTAGGTTTGATGTGAAATAAACGGTGAATATTTGAAGAGGGTAAATGAGAGGTCATCATTGGATAAGGACCTAAAACCAAATAAAAGAATGATCAGACAAAATAAAATTTCATGACAATCTCGTATCCAAAACTCGGAAAACATCTAAGTAAGTGAGCCTTAAAAAAAAGAGAGAACTTGAGATTTGAAAATGTGGAATGGTTGAAAAGCTCTCTGTGTGCTCCTACCCTGAGAAATGTCATTGGTGGACAATACAACAATGGGAATAACTTCAGCAGTCCTGGTAAGTTAAGGGGACACTGAAATGTGGAAAATTCTCCCCTTCTGACAAAACCATTCTACTCAGGAATGTATAACAAAATAATCATTAGTAGGACCTACGTCCTAATAATATGACAAAGTAATTTTGACTTTCTACAAAGTCATAAATTTGGAGGAAGGAATTCTGAAATGGCTTTTAACAAAACTGTTCAACCAATATTTACATGTAAATATCTCAAATTAGAACTGGGTGGCTAGTGAGTTCAAGTCTAAAATCATTTTTAATATTCAAAATAGGAATTTTAGAAATAATCCTGACACATTCAGTCATTTTATCTCAAAATTGAAATGTTTGCTTGGAGCCATTTTTCTTTTTTAAATCGAACAAAAATTTTGAATTATGAATTCTATTCTCATAATTAGGACTTTGAAAATCCGGACGAGGCATTTCAAATTTCCACACTGAAGACATTCACATGGAACAGAAAGAGTGTTGGGACAAATATTTCCCCACCAGGGGGCGCTGATAAGACAGGGTTCCAGCATCACCACTGGGATTAGTCGCACTCACTCAGCAGGCACAACTACAGTCTTTAAACTGTACCCAGAGGTAGTAAAATATATTAATGCAAATTAATATGTCAAAATTAACTTGGGAGGGCTGAGATTAAAAGCAGCCACGGGTTCAACCCCTTACTTCCCCTTTGATTTACGAATTGATATTGATATTAGAAAGTCTGCGAAAAATTCAGCACAATAACAAGCCTTATCTTTTCAAAGAAGTATCTCCAAAAAATAATGGAAGACATTTGAAGCAGTCAATTGAAGAGAGAGCCAGCTTTCCTGCTCTGTCCCTTTAACCAGTCGACTCACAGTTCTCCTGGTCCCTCCCATTCTTGCAGCCCCTCTGTCTTACTGGTCGGAGATGGGAGCGCACATAACAGCAGCAGCAGCACCACCATCACGTCGGAAGACACGGGATGAATCTAAGGAAGGGGACATGAAAACCAACAATACCAAGCAGGTGCGCTGTGGAAGATATGGGAAAAAGACATCAAGTTTTTCAGTGACGCTGTACCCAGCCGCTTCAATCGGTAATTAAACCTCTGCTGTTGTGGCCCCTCGCTTTTTTTTGCGCTTTTTTCTCCCCCCAAGCCATTCTCCCCCCTACACTGCTGGCACAAAGACGCTTATTCTAAGGAGCTGCACCTGGGATTACAGTCAGTCCGCAAGAGTGAACAGATCAGTTGCATCTAAAACGATGGAATGAGAAGCAGTGACAGTAAGTAATAGGATCAGGATTAAATCACTTTTCTTCTTTTTGTACCCCTGTAAATTCCCCTCTGATACCCCCCATCCGTCACCCAGCGAAGACATAATGTCATTGTCTCGAAAGTGAAATCGATTCACTCTTATTTTAAAACGTTGTTTTTGCCGGAATGATGCACAAGAAACTCTATTATGTCTATAGATTTTTATTCCCTTTTGATTCATTGCGCATTACCCGTTTTTTCCTCTGAATGAGCAGCCGGTTTCTCTTGTTCAGGATGCGACTGCGCAACCTTCGGCAAGTACCAGCAATTAGGCTGTGTGTTTGTGCACGAGTTTCCTAAAAGCTTACAAGAAACAGTTCACCCATTTTTTTTTTCTTTTTTAATTGGACGTCGCCATTGTTGTCTGTAAAAAGGAAAAAAAAAAGCAACTGTGGCGTTCTGGACTCAGAGGGGTCAAACGGTGCGCCCTTGGCATCACACCAACCCCCTCCTTGTGTCTGAACCAGGGTCCGTCACAGAAAATAAATCAAGCACAATATGGTGGAGCCCGTTGGATTCATAGAGGCTTGGAAGGCACAATTCCCTGATTCGGAGCCCCCCAAGATGGAGCTGCGGTCCATTGGAGGTATTGAGCAGGAGCTGGAGAAGTGCAAAGCGTCCATCAGACGCCTCGAACAGGAGGTGAACAAGGAGCGCTTCCGCATGATCTACCTGCAAACCCTCTTGGCTAAAGAGAGGAAGAGCTATGACAAACAGCGGTGGGGTTTCAGGAAGACACCATTGAATGAGGGGGTAGACCCTGCAGCCACCCAGGGTGCAGAGTCACCATCTCAGCAGCCCCACATGCAGGAGACTGGTGGAGTTGGAGGTGCTGGAGGATACGCTGTAGTCGATAGGAGTCGTTTTCAGCCACTTGGGGATGGTACTGGCAGGTCCAAACCTAGGCCCCCACCAGCCAGGAAGTCAGCTTCCCATGGAGATGGCTTGGAGTCAGCGTTTGACTCACCCCAACAAGCAGAGTCTATGTCCTGTGACAACCTCGATGGCCTCTCGCCGTCTAAGCAGAGGGGTGGCATCACCCTGTCCCCCCGCAGGCCCACACTTCCACCCCCAGACAAGGATCTGCCTTCTGACCCCAAAGATAAGCTTGGGATGGGACTTGGTGTAGCAGCTCTCAGGTCCAACTTTGAGAGGATCAAACGGGCCAACTCTCACTCTGCTGGAGATGTAGGTAAGGGTCAGGAAAAGCAACTACCACCACCACCACCACCGTTCTACACCAACATGGAATTCCATCATGAGAGGGGTTTGGTCAGGGTCAACGACCGGGATGTGTCGGATAAAATCAGCTCCCTGGGTACTCAGGCCATGCAGATGGAGCGAAAGAGATCTCTTCACTCCCTTCCAGGCAATCTGGCAACAGTGGCAGGTGAACTTCGTGCCAGGCCAGTGTATAGAGGACGGTCTACTGAGAGCACCTGCGGCTATGATGCAGAATACGAAGATGGGGAGCCCAACCAGCGACATTCAGGGAGGGCCAATGGGGGTAAACCTCCACCTCCGCCTTGGCAACCATCTGAGTTCCAAGCCTACTCCAGCGTCTATGTTGGTGGAGTGATGATGGGTGAAGGTGGCAGTGGAGATGGACGTGGAGGTGGCAGTGGAATCACAATGAGGGACCACAGCGGAGGTGATGATCACCTCCTGACCTGGCCACGCCGCTCCTACTCCCCAGGTAGCTTCGAGGATGCTGGAGGGGGTGGTGGCTACACACCAGACTGTAGCTCCAACGAGAACCTGACATCCAGTGAGGAGGACTTCTCCTCTGGCCAGTCCAGTCACGTCTCTCCGAGTCCCACCACAGCCTTCCGTCGTCCCTTCAGAGAGAAGAGCAGGTCGCCTTCCCAAAACTCCCAGAACTCCCAACACTCCTATGACAGCAGCAGCCCTCCTACGCCGCAGTCTCAGAAGCGTCACCACAGGCAGCAGGGAGGCCATGTGGTCATGTCTGAGGCCACTATTGTGAGTGTTCGCAAGACAGGTCAAATCTGGCCCCCTCCTGCCCACCATGACCTCCTGCCCCATGGTCGAACATCCCATGACAACAGTTTTCACGGAGACCACTTAGGTAAGTAAAGACGGCTATCTCTAATCTTTGTTATGCTGAAGTTAGTCATGCTTAAATAATCTTGGCACTAACTTTGCTTTGTATAATATAGCTTTCCTCTTAAAACCACATGTTGGATGAAAGCATTAGTGATTGATAATGTTAGTTGGACTGGTGTGTGCAGTCAAATATGCCAAAATGTGTGTCCTTTGGACGGCCTTGCGTGGGAGCCTGATGAAAGATCCACCTCTGCTCATTCTTGGAATGTCAGTCGGGTGGGTGAACAATGAATGTGGCCAGTCTGAGTTGAAACTAAAAGTCTAGTCTTTCTCAGGCCTCTGGCTCTTGTACGTAATTTAAATAGCAGGTGTCTTCCTGCCTACCTTTTCTTTTCTTTCTCATCCTCCAAAAAAAATAAAGAGATGCAAGATGACTTTTTCCTGAATTACAAACATAATGTCTTTACCAACATTTACAGTTACCACCATTCTTTAAATATGCTGTATACAAAAAAACAAGTCCTTTTTGTTTCGCAGCCTGACCTTATATTAGGCTGATATTTCCTGTTTTAGATCCGTTAGGATTACCTACATTTGTTTTATTTGTTAAATGGCAGAAAATTTGAGATGTTTTATTTATTTATTTTTTTTTGCAGATGATTATTATTACTTTCCTTAAAGTCCGAAACATACCTGGAAGTTTATTATGCCATTGGCTTTGTACTTTTTTGATCGCAAACTGTCCTATGGATTTACTTTAAGCCACCCTAATCACACTGCTTCCTCATGTGACATCATGGGAAAATCTAAATATATCAGTTTCAATATCGGGAGCAAAACTGTCTGGTTTATCTTTGAATGCAACTTTAAGATTTCTGAAGGTGACACATTTATCTGTTGAATAGATAAACAGCATGGGATTGTCCTGTCCTCATGTGGTTCAAAAAGGAGATGGTCCAGTGTCCTGGACTGGTTGGTGTGAAATGTGTCCATTAACCCCAAAACAAAAGCAAATCATGTCATGATTATGCTAGTGAAAGAGTGCCATTGTCTACAGTGAAACAAGTCCTTTCACAATGTGGGACGAAAAACCAGTCGGAGAGGAAGAAGCAATTACTCCAAAAGAAATATAAAATCCCAGATTACAGTTTGCAAAAGCACTCTGGAACAAAGAACATTTTGGAGACATTTCCTGTGGTTTGATGAAACAAACCTCAACCACACAGCCAAATGAGTTATGAAGAGGATTAAAGATAAGGCCTGCAAAACGGGCCTTATTCCATCAGGAGGAATGGGCCAAGCTTCCAAAATTTAAGAAAGTAATGGTACATTTTTTTTTTTTATTTCACTCATTATTCTTGTACTTAGTAAATAGAAATAGTTGTAGTTATCCTGACTAATCTAAACAGGTAAAGGTTAGTGTGATCTAAAGTCAGACAGGAATAGGACTGAAGGGTTTTGTCAATACAGCATATGTAAACATCTAGTTTTAGTGCCTTTATCTAGTAATCTGCCTGCACTCAGTTACTAACCTTGAGCTTTTGGAACAGCACAGCTACAAGGATATGGTGCTTAGAAACAAAGTCATGGACTATCTGGGTAACTGGGCTACCAGGACTTGGGTTTTCTATAATTTGCTCAGAAAATTTCCATTGTACAAGCCATGCCAGGTCGTAAGAGCTGAAAGCAAACACTGCTCGGGTGGCTCAAATATTTGGTATAATTTTAAAACTTGGAATGTTGTTTACTAAGGTGCGGTTAGTAGAAGCCATGCACATTTTGGTGAGTTGCCTGTCAGTGGGATTCGGCTGTGGAAGTGAGTAGTATTTTGAGTCGCTGGACTGGCGCCCTGTTTGACCAGACAGGCATCACATGCCTGCAACCAGGGTGAGCTGCAAAAGAAGGAAAGCATTGAAAGTAAAGATTGTCTTAAGCTGCTGCTTCACAAAGTTATTGCAATCATCACAAATGCCTTTTAAGCTGTTGCAACACAGGATTCAGTTCCCAACATGTTACTGTCACTCTTAATAGCATTAGCATCTGCAGTCCGCGTTTGCTCACAGGTCTCACTGCATCTATAATTCATTTATCTGAAAAGAATTGGGAACCCTGGTGGAATTAGCTAAAATGCCTTTCCAAACAGGATGCGATTATCAAAGCACCGCTGTTGCATTGAAAGCAAAAAACATCTTGCATCATGTCAATTAAAAGGCAAATCCCATCAATATTTTAGCACAACAGCAAAAGTCATTACACTCCACACAACACAATCAGGATTGTTTGAAGGTAGCTGCAAGCCCTGAAAGTCTGTCTCCAGCAAATGGCTGGCTAATTCTCCAGCTGCTGTGTTTAGGATTATCACAGCACTATCTGCCCTCTTTGTTTTAACATATTTTCCACAATGATGAGCCCGGTGGGACGTTTGACAAGCTGTAAGGCAAGGATGGAGATGGATTTTGGGCAGGAGAGGAGGAAGAGGAGGAGGAGGAGGAGAGCATGTGTTGCAGACAGTGATGCATTTAGTGAGATAATCATAAATTTGAGCTCAAGATGTAAAAATATTTAACACCCTGCAGACTGGTCATGTTTTCTACTCGGATTAAGCAGACGTGAGACAGAGCAAGCTGGATGACCGCAATAAAAGCTGCACAATTTGATGTGTATTTTTATGTTTTCAGATAATGTTGATAATACAGAAAGAAGAGTGAAGAGAGTGTATGTTTTGTGGGGAGTGGATGATGCTAATAAAGAGTGGGACAGTGCTGTGAGGAAGACTGAGGGAGGCAGAGTGCAAGGCAAAGCTGTCGTTTCTCGCTTCAGCGGTCCGGGATGTGGGGTGCTGCAGAGAGGCGCAGATGGGAAGAACACCCCCGTTGTGTAACAGAAACACACAAACTCAGGCTCAGGCACACACAAAGTTACACATTCTCGATATTTCATACCTCTCAAGACTACTTTGGCTTCAGAGGATGGCATACACGGAGCATAAGATCACTTTTTGATGGTCCATCCTCTCATCATCCCAGCAATGAGTGCTTTATGTGGGTGATGCTTCATTGCAAATAGAATGTGGTTTTAAGGATGAAGCAATTAGAAGTAGATCTGTCAGATTTGCTGTTTCATATGTTGAAATGATGAAAAAAAAGTTTAAATGATTAGGGAAAGAAAAGTCAAAATGATGTGGAAAAAGAATATCAACTGCCAAAATGAAATTATCGCAAAAACGTGAGACAATCATGAATTTTGTGCGTCTGTTGGTCTATTAGAAAAGGCTTAGATAAAAAAAAAGGCTTCTCTTTGACAAACATTAATGTGTGCCTAGTGCGTGTAGAGGCACATGCAAGTTTCATGAACTTCCATGAAAAGAAAATGTGTTTTAGCAATTTGCCTCATCTTTGAGATGTCTTTTTCAATTTATTCTGATATTTGGACTTAAATCTAAAAGCAGAATATACATTTTCTCACCATCACGACTTTAATCTTAAAATACAATTTATAAAATGGTTAGACCGCAGTCTACAGGATATTTTATTCATTTTGTTAGAGATATGCCCAATGGTGGAAAACGTAAAGAAATTTAGAGTAACCAGTACTACGTTCAGTAATGGTTTTAAAGTTAACTTCTTAATTAAGCAGAATACCCTGTGTTTTGTTGCCTTCCCCTTTATAAAGTAACTTTGATCCACGCAAAGTGATGTTTGCTAATTGATTAATGGTGTTATCTTCAGCTGACTGTTGTCTGCTGATTCACAAAATAACTCTGGTTGCCAAGCAGTAGGGGTAGCTGTTTTTATGAGTTTTATGAGGCTGCTCTTTGTTACCAGACAGATGTCTAAACACCCACTCATCCTTTTTCTCAAGCAATTAAGTGTAAGAGTTTTTAATCTTCCCCCTTTATCTTTCATAACGTCACCTTCCTAAAATAATAGCCGAAGTAATATTTGGCCAAAAGTGATTTTTTTTTTTCCCCCGAATGATCTTTTGGCAATAAAAAGTATATATATATATTTTTTTTTTCTTTCAAAAATTGCTTTTGAAAAAAATGGCGCAGTCCATTATTTTAGGAATGTGAGACTTCTTTCTCTTTCAAGTTGGGAGTGTGGGTGAGCTAACTACACTCTATGTCTCTGGTATTTTACAAAAATTAGGTTTAAGTCATAGATTTGTTAGTAGATGCAGTTTTGAAGTATGAGCTAAAGACAATAGCATCCATTGCAGATTAAATCTGATTTCACTGTCCGTGTCATCCTGTGTTTATAAATGCATTCCTAATTTGATTTTAATTATTTTACAGATAATATCTCTTGTGAGCTACATTGAGTTGTTTTGTTTTTCTTAGATGAATGAGCTCTGTGCATTTAAACTTTTATGTCTTAAAAATGTGATTCAACATTTCCATCTGTGTTGGAGCACAGGGAGGAGGCAGAAGAGGGAAAGGAAAGCTTTACAGTCAGTCTGGTGTGGCACAATGACCCCTTTTCACACGGCCGGGGGAGTGACTACGCCTCTTAAAAAGACTCGTTCAGTGTTTGCAGTTGAGTGAACTTGGCAGTAAGAGCAGACACACAGTAGCTACAGGCTCAAAGTTAGGCTCAAAGAAGTAAGATGGGAAGAGAAGGAGATTAGATGGAGTTAGAGGAGGGCAGCATGTTGGACTTTCTTTGCCAGGTGGTGTTCAGGTCAGCTCACCGTGGCTGATGCAGCCTGCTCAGGCAACTGAAAACTGTCCCTCTGACATTATATCAGGAGGCTGGTATAGGAACATTTGAACGGTTCACAAGTTATTTGTTCATATGAAAATCCTTTTTATTTAAAATTGGATCATATTCTTTGAGTTGGACTGTACTCTTAAGGTCCCAACTTGAAAAGTCTTTAAATGTTATGGACTTTAATGTTGACACTTTTCAAGTCTTATTTTTTTGTGAAAAAAAATAAATAAAATTATATATATATAAAATCTGGAAACTGTTTGCAGTTCCCAACTTTTTTTTCCATTTCATTATCTAAACAATATCAAAATTATTTTCTGAAAAATAAGCACCTTTTTACAATTATCTATGTAAAATATGTTTTTGGCTCATTGCATCTTGATATCTACATAAGTTATTGACCCTCTTGGTTCTATAGCTACAGAACCTATTGATAATGTACACATTCAGTATAAAACATGTTTTTAAATTGTGACCTCATTTTAGGGCTGGGGGATATGAGGAAAATCTAATATTGTGATATATTTTTGCTATATCACGATAGACAATATATATCACGGTATTCTTAACTGAGCTCCAATGTTATTTTAAACTTGCAACATGATGTCACCCACGCAAGTTCCTGCCCCCATTTCCCTGCTAGATTTAAATGTAAGCTAATATAAAAAGGGATGCAGT